AGATAAATAATAAATTTTATTTGAATGTAGTTTGTGCCCGTAATGGCAGGCTCTAATTTTGAGTCTATTTGGTGATCGGTTAAATAAACATCTGTTGCAGCGTCCTTTTGACAGCAACCTCCACGTCGATGGAAATAGACTTGCTACCTTCCTAAACTACGTAAGTAATGTGTGTGCAGTTTGTTATTATGTATCTTCACTCTTAAATTTTATCTTTATAGAAAGATGAGCCAGATGCTTTCAAAAGATTAGGCACTGGAAATCGTTTGGCGACTTATTTAAACTACGTAAGTATACGTATCTGTTCACTGCTGATTGAAGGCAGTGGTGGCCGTCTCCTGGCATCCACTCTCCATCGTTTCATTCCGGCTTCATTGGCATAAGCAAAAGCTCTGGCTCAATGTTGGACTTGGATTGATTGACTTTCATACATTAATTCACCTGCAGTGTGTTGTCATAATTTTTAAGTTCACAATCAAGAATTAGTGCAAAAGGTTGTAACATTTCTTTGGCAATAATACTGAATAATATCAATACATAGCAAAATTATGTTTACCTGTCAATCAGTTCTGGTACATATTGTAGAGAGTTTTGTTGTCCGTGCGCCATTAACAGGCCGACAAAGAACCTTGTTTTGTTTTTTTGTTTTTTCTTTTGCCTTTGCTAACACTGAGCTGTCTATGAGACAAGATTTTAATTTTGAATGATGTAGAGCATGTAGTGTATGGATTGCTGCACCCCACCTCCGTTCACGGTTTAAATTCATACATCATACATGTACATGGGGTGGGCGATATAAACGATATACGGTAGAGATTTTGACTATACCGCTCTATCGCGATAGCGCACGTTGATGATGTCATCAAGCTGCGCCTGTTTTGGTCGAAAGCATCACAGCGGCTACAACCATTATCATCTGCAAATTATACTGACAATCATAGCAAAGAGATGAAGCACTTTTGAACTATGGGGAAAGCCAAAAACTGCGCTTCCTCCACTTCCGTAACATTGATTCATTAATGTTGAATTCTCCCGCAGCTGCTCTATTCCCATGTTGTCGCAGTATATTAATAACTAACCTTGTATTGTGGATGAATAATCTCAGTTGTTCTCCTGACTGAAGTTTGGCCCGTGTATAGCATCCTGCTATGCGATTGCATTTGTCCCTAACCACCAGAATCCCTCACGTTAACTTTTATCGAGTGGAAAAAAAGTTGACGTTCATCCTCCAGCTTCACTGTGCTAATATTATGCTAACATAGCTGTGTCGCTAGCAATCACGTAGCACAACATTATATACCAGGTAGTCCAACTTCAGTAACCCTGCAAACGCCACTGCTGTTTAGTTTTCTGTCTTCATTTATGTTGGAAGTGGTAGCAGAGCTGTACGTTTTAATTAGTTTCAAAAATCTCTCAGCCAGAACATGGTATGTCATGTTTAGGTGGAAACTAGCGAGCTAACTTCCTGTTAACTTCTAACTCCGTTAAATTTAATAACTTCTGTTTTCATGGATGCCTGGATGTTAAACTTACTTGTTACACCTGGTAAAGCAGCATCGCTGATGATTTTATTAAAGATTAAAGAATTTAGACCATTTTTAACTCTGTGTTCGTTTGACTTTGGGACCTGAAGCGCACGGAGTTTTGGACCCAGATTACTCCGAAGCTCCTCACTACGGCAGCCGTAATGCTCTGACAATCCATCAAGCAGTGCACTAAAACATTTTTTAACAGATTTCTCCTAGCCCAAATCGGTGCGAGGTCAGTAAGCACAACCAGAATTCATACATAAGGAACACTCTCAATTTTTGAGAAAATGAAAGGATTTTAAGTGTGCCTTATAGTGTGGAAAATACGTTATACAGAAGAAAAGAATATATCGCGATATATATCGTTACTGCACATGCTTCAAATTATATCGCGATATGAATTTTAGGCCATATTGTCCAGCCCTAATCTATACCGTAAATTGGTAACAATTGGTAAACAAGTTTAAGGATGAAAGAAAACTAACAGCATTGAGGGAAGAACTTCACAACATGAACAATCACACTTTTTATTTTTTACGTAACTTATTGAGACATGGCGTAGTATGGAATAGCGTCTTACGAGAAGCCAGTGACCACTAGTGACTATAAATGATCTTGTCTTTTTTCAGATGAGTGATGTTGAGGCAGGAGGTGCCACAGTCTTCCCTGACTTTGGAGCAGTAATCTGGCCAAGAAAGGTGATGATATTTTTATGTTTCTTTGATTGTGAGCGAGCTTGTGTGAAGACCTGCATTATTATTCCCTTTGTATTGTCTTTTTATTTTATACTAATGCTATCCTCAGGCTATTAGCGTTTACTTTATAGTTAAACTGTTTTTTAACAAAATCAGAAATAGTCACGATCTCACAAAGACAGCTGAACAAACACAAAAAAAAAGATTTTATAATTTTTTATTTTTTTTTAAAGCTAATTCAAGTCCAGAATTATTTTGGTGCCCTTGACTTTTTACCCTACCATGAGCAGTAAGCCATTTTTACTCCAAGTACTTTTAAACCTCCTATTTACTGGACACTCAACTTTATCGTCATATTTGCCTTCTAATTATTTTTCCACAGGGAACATCGGTGTTCTGGTATAATTTGTTCAGGAGTGGCGAGGGAGACTATAGGACCAGACATGCAGCCTGTCCTGTCCTAGTAGGAAGCAAATGGGGTAAGCTGTAGTTCAGATTTATAAAGCCACATTTGTGATTCATCAAATAGGTTTGGAAACGGCCACCTTCTCATTATACATAAAGACAAGAAAACAGAAAACAGGAGGTCAACGACAATTACAGCTGCACAATAAATAAAATATTTGATATCTAATATTAGACAGCATGTTCAAGCTGCTTTACTTGGTTAATTTTGTTTGTCTTGTCTTTTTATCAGTCTCAAATAAGTGGATTCATGAGCGAGGTCAAGAGTTCAGAAGACCCTGTGGCCTGACAGAAGTGGACTGAAACTGACTTTACTCCTACACAGAACCCATGCTATCTTGCATAGATGGAGCGCTTTAGGTTGAAGTTGTAAAATGTTGCTTTTTTTGTTTCTTTCTTTGTTTTTTGTTTGTGTGTGCTTTGTGTGTTTGTTTGTTTGTTCTATACATGGATTGCATTTTGTGAACTGACTCACCCGCTCACTTGCTGGTCAGTCCAGTCTGTGTGTCCACTGCTCTGTTCATCATCCAGTCCCAGAAGATGATTTTTACAAGTCTGTGTGGGAGGTTTGAGATTTTTTGGTTTTGTTTGTTTGTATTTGTTTTGTTTTTTTTGTTTTGTTTTTTTTTTAAACTGAAAAATAACTCAGAACTTTGTTGTGCATGGTCATGCCACCCACACATCATTAAATGGGCAATTTAAATTAAGAATGAGATAAACTGTGTCCTGAAATGGAATTAACAAATAAACACTGAAAAAACACAAAGCTGTATTTTATGTACGATTTTTTTTTGGGTGATTTTTCCAGTATATGTACTTCACATATATATATTTTATAGTGTTTAAATTAAGAATTGCTTTAAAATCTGCATAGGTTGGCTGTGATTCTTGCTGGCCTCAGGACCGTGGCCACCTAGTGCACATGCTCCACCCAGGTGTCACTGTGGATGATAAGGTCATCCAAGAAGGCAGGATATGCAGCGTGTGGAGGCCATGATGCGTTTCAAAATAGTGATCTATAAGATTTGTACGTTGGGCACCTCTAGCCCCAGCCCATCTCTTTCATTCACCAGGCTCACCAGAGAAGTGGTTTCAGGGATAACTGGACCACTCGAGATCTCTGTCCAGAAGAGCACAGTCCTACGAACAGCAAAGATACAGTGCAGGACCCTCAACTTCCCAGGCCTTGGGTAGAGAACCTGAGCTTAAAGGGTAATGACTGCCTACAGAGATGAGTTGGGAATTTATATATAGAAATAGATAAAGTATTGAACACATCATCAGTTTTCTAAGTAAATGTATAATGGTAAATGGCCTGCATTTGTATAGCGCTTTTCTAGTCCATAGGACCCCAAAGCGCTTTACACTACATTCAGTCATTCACCCATTCACACACACATTCACACACTGGCGATAGCAAGCTACATTGTAGCCACAGCTGCCCTGGGGCGCACTGACAGAGGCGAGGCTGCCGGACACAGGCGCCACCGGGCCCTCTGGTCAGAGGGCCCGGTGTATATTTCAAAAGGTGCTTTTGACATGGAATTCTCACTAGATTCTCACCAGATGTCAGTAATAATCCATCTAATCCACGCATTAGAAAGCAATCCTGCCACTCAGTGTAAATCATTATCAGCTGGTTCAGTCCAACTGATGGGCTATGAAAATTACCAATGTTTCACACACACGAAGCATCTAATGATGGGTTAAACCAGTGAGTTCTCTCAAGACCTTGGCACCCTCATGGTAGCAAAACATACTGATGGTGTTGGTTATTGGTTAATTTCTCAGCTACTGAAGGTTCCAGTGAGCACTGTTGGGGCCATAATCCTGGAAGTGAAAAGAACATCAGTTCACCAAACACACTCAAGGAAACTCTCAGTTGGTTTCAGAGAAGGAATTAAAGCTGGTGGAAGCTGGCCAGTCACCTGAATCCACAGAACAGTCAGGATTTAGAATAGAATAGAGTAGCCCTTTATTGTCATTTTATATGTACAACAAAATTATGGGTGGTCCACGCCCACTGTGCAGGAGTGGAAAAAAGTATAAATAGTTTGTGTGGAAGAATGGCCCAAAATCCATTTGGGGGAATGCATGAGACAAGTTTCTCAATACAGGATCTTGAAGACATCATCACCAACAAAGGCTTTTGAAAATAAATTTCACGAAGTGAGTTCAGTACTTTTTTATTACACATAACTTAATTTATAGACCTCTATGTTTTTATTTCTTTGCATGTGTAGACTGGATGAGTTGTTACTGGCACCTAGTGATAATTTCGTGTCAATAGCACCTTTAGAAATATATTTACTTTGAAAACTGGTGACGTGTCCAACAC